CAACAGAGTTTTCCGAAGCACTGAATAATTATCAAGTGACTACTGGCATCGTGTGCTATTTATATATTTACTTTGCAATAACATTCTTATTATAACGGTCTGTAAATGGAATGTCTGGTAGAAATGGCATGTCAGTTGACATTCACTAGGTTTTGAATGCATTTATTATACAAAATATAAAAGACTTGCACGTTGCGAAATAGGATGTTTCCTTTCATAGTGTACATTTGTATACATCCTAATTCAAATAAAAAAGTAAAACTAGAAACCCAATCAATGTATTATCTCAATCATCTTTAAGTGAAGGTGGAGTGAAGCATTACTTCTCATGCAATAAACATGCCAAGACAATGGCTGTAGAGACCATTGTTGTTGTCTCTAATGTTTAATGTTTTGGAAGCTCTGGCCCAGAGTCACAATACCCTCACCACACCTCAACTTCAAATGAGGAAGTAAACACAAGATTGGCTAACATTGCAGTCCGTGTTCGCACCATGGCAGATGCGGCAATGCTTTGCACACTAAACACGGTATGGTTTCTTTGCCAGGCAGATGTGCAAATCCAACAGTGTGGTGAGAAAAAGACTAATTAAAGTGTATTTCAATTAGCAACAGTAAAAGGGGCCTTTGCTAGCTGTTTGATTGCTCAGTGTTAGAACAGTTTAAAATTGCTGCTTTTAGCAGCGCCCAACCAAAAGCAGTGTTTAAGCACCGAAGGGGGTACACACCCTCCCCCCCCCACCCCTCTCCCCTCCTCCCCCCACTTTAGTGTACGAATTATTTACCAGCTGTGCAGCACGCTATTCTTGTAATTACAGTACATGTGGGGAACACCACGGTAGGGAGTTATCTACTTCGCCTGGTATAAAGGTCGTGTGTTCCATCCCGGCCTTGACGCCTGTATATTTGGAGTTTGCGTGTTCTCCCCGAGGCCTTGTGGATTTTTCTCCGGACCCCCCCGTTTTTCCCCTCCACCTTTAAAATCAAGATGCGTTCAGAGTATTTGGCTGCTATAAATTTCCACATACGCCACTTCTCGTTGAGCTATCAGTTGTGACCAGGTCGTTTCTGAAAAAGAACTACATAGCTCAGTGGGCCTTAACTGGTCAAATGTAAATATTAGTTTACATTGATAGCAGTACACATTTATTTGTGGCCCTTAAAGCCAATAGAAATCAGTAGTACATTTACATTGATTGATACACCGACGATACATGTCACCAGCCAATGAAAGCTCCTGGATGAAGGCCTTCCCAAGACATCCCCTTTCCCAGTCTTGTAGTGGCACGAGCACAAGCTGAAACTGTATGCTAATGATCCTCCGAGCTAAATGTAGCAAGACATTAGAGATAATATAAACAAGTACAAAGATTGATTATTAAATCGCATTATCACGCTGAAACGTGACGAACCATGAAATCGCTTTGGTGGAGGCAAATCATAACATTCTGAATTCCATACCCAACACTCCTGAGTGACTATAGCAGAAAATAACGTCCAATTTCTTCAGCCCCATTCCCAAATATGGAGTTATTAATGAGCCCCATTATATTTCGAAGGTTATCATAAAAAAAAGTCACGACTGTAATATGACAATTTAAAAGACACGTGCATTACAATTGGCTGTAGAATATAAGGCGTGTGCAGAAAATCACGATGACCCATTCAGGATATTTTTTTCAGTTTTTTTGTTGCATTTTCACTCAATGGTGCAAATGAACGTTTTGAAATGTAAGAGGGTGCTGCTCACGCTGAACAGACATTGTATTCATTAGTTTTGGAACATTTTGTAGGCTTGAAAACGATAACTTTCTTCGGCTACACAATTAAGCCGCACCTTGCATAAACATATTTTCACGTCACAACACGTGATGGTGAACACAGCATTCAAGGGCAATCAATGTTGCCTCTACTTATGAAAACATTTGTACGTCTGAGCACAAATTGACGATTACACAATTGTGCCGGAGCCCTCGTCGCAACGAGTGCGAATTCGTGTCCCAACAACACAGAAGTGCTTCCAACCGGGCCGAGTGTTTGTGCACGTATCTAAGGCAACTGCACATTAAGACCTGCGGACAGACGAGAGCACGAGCGGGCAATTTCTTTTTTTTAAAGCTTCACCTCGCTCTACTGTACCACGCAAACAGCACCCAGGAAACATCGCTTACTTGGGCACCTTATGCCCGCTGTGCCTTAAACAGATGTGCACACCAGCGAGTGGCGGGGTGGTGCCAACACAAGGGAAATCACATCCATCAAGCCGAGCGATAGATGATGTGTTGCAGCGCACTACGCTACCTGGTCCGCAGTTTTGCTGTGAACCATGTTCTTGCTCTTTATGTTGCAATTGTGCTTTTGGCATCAAGTCACGAGACAAAATTAATTTCCATTCAGACCACTCGCAACAAGCACCGACTGTACTGCTTCTGCGTCAGAGGCAAGCCTCTTATCCACAGGCACTAAGGGACACACTTTTATATTGTGTTCATTGCATTTCCATAAAACTATATTTATTTAAATTATCAGGGCCAGAATTAGCTTAATAAAGTAAATACAATTGTTTTTTATTTAGCATCCATGGTGACCGAGCTGAGACGATCAACTCGCTACGTTTCAGAATGGGGTTTAATCGCAGGGTTGCTGAAATTCAGATTTGAACCCAGGGCTTCATAGGTGCTGCCTCGATTTTCTGATACCGTTTTAGCATCCAAGAGCATCAGGTCACCCCAGAACAACGTCATTTCTCAAATAACACGGTCATCAAAACTTAAATGCGGCAGTAGAGTTGATGATGCACTGGTGGGTTCTTGTCTCTGCAAGTACTGCCCCCAGGCACAACACTGGCCAACTTTTTCCAATCAGCCAATCACTCTGAACGCACCCAACCTCATCAGATCTAAAGGTAAACAGACTTGAGCCTTATTGTGACTTTGATGGGAAACTGTCAGGGGACTAGCAATTGCTCTAAGCGTCAGCTGAGAGGTGGCCAGGAGATGGTATGAAAACAATGGTTTTCTTGCATACATCTGTGCCGATCTCCTGGTATGATGATTTATTCCTAAATGCCAACCAGTTGACCAAACATCCCAAGACAGAAAGGTCTGAAAAAATACTTGTGACTCAATTCCATTTCAGTAAATGAATAGGAGGCATTCATACATTATTTAGTCTTAAGTTCAAATAGATGGCACAATACCCCTATCCTTAGATCCCCGAGCATATAAACCCACCTCAACAGCGCCCCAGCTTACACTCATGACGTTGGGAGGAAAAACTGCCATAAATGCACATGCAATAATCAGTAACCAAGTCTGTTATTACAACGGCGCGGATACTTGGAATTTTTCCGCGTAGCCCTACTCTAAACAAGCCCTGGCCGCCGTTGGTATGGACTCGAGAGGCAAACGCCACCTCTGGCATGCGCTGTGACCACCGGTGTCGCCCCGCTTTCAAGACGGAGCAACGGGGCTCACGTGCCGAGCGTCTCTCGCTCCCGTCATGGCACAGACACGCGGCGGCACGCATGTCCATTCGCAGCTGCCAACAATTTTTTTCCTTCCCCTTTCCTCTTGTAAGCACTTTAAACGTGGCCATGGGTAGCACAGGACGCTTTAATGGAAAAATCGCATGGCGGTAATGATGCACGGGGAAAATTGGTGATGTAAACTTGCCTCTAGTGGCTCATGCCTGCGATGGGATTGGAGAGGATAGTGGCGAGCCGAGTGGGCCGTACTCCACATTTTTACTTTTGTAACTTTGTATTTGGAAATGGTTTATTGCCCATGCTAAAAAAAGTTCTTCACAGCACACCCTTCAAAGTACGGTAAAACGCATTTACTTTGTGACAAAACAAACTAAAATTAGCAATTTTAGACTCGTCTCCTCACTGGAGGGGACTTACAGAAGAACCGAAATTCTCGTGACATTTGTAAACTAAAAGATCTACAAGTGATACGTCCGCATTCACGAGCAACCAGCCAGGCAACCTCTTGGGGCACAAACCAACCTTTGCAACATTGAAGGGTACGGACAGCAATTACCACGTTTTTTTTGTTGTCAAGCAATTCCCTTGGCCCTGAAAAACTTGAAGACATCTCCACTGCCCCCCACCAAAGCAATGACGACCCATGAAATGGGCACCACTATCCAACAGGCGGCTCACCACCCCGCCACAACTGCCAAAGCAGCCATGCAAACAAAATGTGTGCACGTGTCGACCATAGGTTACACAGCGAATGGGGGGGGGGGGGAACTTTTGAAAAAGCAGTCATAATGCCTCCACTTACCCTGTTATGTAACATGCCGACTTCCCACTGGCACAAATATTTAATTCATTCCAGTTGCAAAGAATTGTGAGTTTAGAAATCCTCGGGATTAAATTTTAAATTGTTATTTTGGGTTAGCTTTATTCACACCGTTTGAGCCGTGACAACCGTGTGGTGCCAGCACACAAGTGGCAATTTTAATTAGTAATAACCGACATAACACATGTGTACTTCGCCTTTGGAGCACAACGCAAATAATAGGATATCGCTAACAAGCAGCAAGCATTACATTAGGCAGTGACTAACCGTGACACAACTTTACAATAAAACTCGTCTAAAGGACTAAATAAAACTTTTGCCAGTGAGCACACTGACACTCGCAGATGCAGAGACAACCACGACAACAGACAACCAATGTTTACATTACTTTCAACTGACAATGACATCAGACATGTTAACATAACAACAGTGTATGTGACATTGCATAAAACACCGCAAGTAACCGATTTAATTTCTCGTGTTGTGCTGTTTAACATTAGAGGCTGTGGGAAGATACCCAACCACCCAGGACTATGCAAATGGCCACCGATTTAACAACGTACAATTACTTGCTAACCGCAAATGACATCACCCATCACAGCCGAAAAAACGATCGTCGTTAAATGCGGCCGTCACCGCGAAAACGCAAGTCAATAAGGGTTTGAAATAGGACAAGTTACAAGAATGACTTACCACTGGCAAGCACGACACTGGAAAAGCGCACTGTATGAAAAACAAAACAAAAACAATTACTTTGCAGAAGCGACTCGCTGCACACGATGCGCTTCAACACAAGGGGGGTCACAATACACACACACACGCTCCAAGCAATCGAGGATTTTCAACAATGAACGCGCAACAATGGATCACAACTGACACACGCAAGCGCGCGCACGCGCGTATCCTTACCAGCCGCACAGAGCCCGTCGCTTCATAAAAAAAAGACATGAGACCTTTACACAACCATTCATTATCGCCTCACTGCATAACAGTAATACGTGCTTTTTTTTCCTCCTCAAAGTTGAAACACACACAACAAAGGACAGAAACTTGAGAATGTTCAGCTTTCGCATGGGGCAAGGGGAGGGGGTGGTTTAGGACAGCAGGAGGGCACACAGGGGGGAGGGGGTTTGCCATCTTCAGGGCAAGGGGGTGGTTTTCTTTGTCTCCGTTAAACTTTTAAAGCACCCGAGGCCCTTCCCACGAAGGCCGCCGCCACACTTATCTGCGGCCCCATTACTCCGCCGGCCGGGGCATAGGGGGGTGGGGGCTGGCACACGGCCTTTGAGCCCTGGCCTCTTTTGCGCTGCTCTGGTTTGGAAAAAGGCTGTCGGCAGACAGAGCGCGCACCCCGAGAGAAGGAGCTACCAACGGGTGACCTCAATAAAGGATCAAGGTCCCCGAGGGACTGATAGCGGGTTCTCCTCATTCGCCTCGGCTTCCAAAGCAGAATGTGCCGACAACTTGGTCAAATTTATGAAGTGAACTGAGCTAGCTGAGGTGGAGGGGGGGTCAGGGTCTTGTGACCCCCCCCCGTCTAAAACATGAATAAAAAACGAATATCTCGTATTTTTCCAAGCTAAAGAGGAAAACACAAGGGATAGACGTTTGTGTAAATGTGGTCAATGGTCATGTGTTGCTCAAACTGCAGTACTCATACTTTACCACAGCGCAGGTTTTTTTTTACACTGTTACTGATCAACAGATGGACAACAATGCGATTCGCATGTTAATAAAGGTGGGGGGGGGGGGATGCAGAGAGCAGAGCCAAAGGACTGGGCCGTGGGAACCAGAATTAGAGAAAGCCTACAAAAATCAATACGGGGCAGCCCACTCGTGCTGGCGAGTAAAACAAAAATGTAAGGGCCACCTCTTAATGCAGTCACAACAAAGGCATGGGAGAATACAGGAAAGGGGGCCGAGGGGGGTGGAGTGGGGAGGAGGAGGGGAGAGACGGTCGCTGACTTGTTGTTTGCAAAGCGAGAGGCCGAACCAGGCGCGTTGCAATTTCGATCTCACAATTCCCCCAAATGACGCACTCGAAACCCAACGAAACGTTGTCCGTGTCGTAGGGCGAACTTTCCACAGAGGCTCCCTCCCCCTCCCCTTCTCTCCTCACCTGTGGCCCGTCCCAATGTCTAAACGCGAAACGTAACGGCCACTACTGCTCTGAGCAATCACAAGAAAGGCACGGGGGAAAAATAAAAGAGGTAGGGGGTGGGGGAGATCGTGAAAGCCTACTTTGCTTGTAGGACAATAGCAATGGCTGCCCTTCACTGCACAGTCATTTGAAAGGCTCAACAGGACAACTGTGGCATCAGCCAACTTAGCAATGAGCGAAACTACGCCGGCAACCCTCTAAACCCAGCACTGTCATCTCAAACTGCTGACACATAACCCAAACACTATTATTTTTAAGTCACAAAACAACTCGGACATTCGTCAATGACGCTGCCTTAAAAGGAAACATGATAGGGCCTATAGTCCTTTAGAGGCCAGTGGGTGACATTTGAAAATTGCGCTCTACACCATGAGAACTGATGAGAGTTAAATGCATCGTTTCTGATTACAAGATGTTTTAATTGGCATGTGAACGGTTACCGATTGGTAGCTATTGAGTAACCGATAACCCTACTCAATGATCATCAAGTCGCAGACAAACCCAAAGGCAACGCTGACCTGTGGAATGCGTCGGGACCTAAAACAAACTTAAAGGCCTTACCATCTTCTTCTTGCACGCTACAACAAAGACACGTGGTTCAAGAGGGGGAAGGGGAGTGGAAATAGGTTGCGGCTATATAATGAACAGGGAAATGTCAAAACTTGTCTCGCTCACAACAGTATAATAGTAGACGCTCATCTGTATACAGCCCTGAGTCAGTGGTGCAAATTCCACATTCCTATGGCGGGGGCGAGTCATTTCCTATCACGCTGTTGAAGCAAGCCAACAAAACGTCACCGACTGCCAATACTGCAATGTAAACTCGAAGGCGCAGACAATCATGCCTTTATCCAAAAGCACCAAATGGCAAAGTCACATCGCATAAAACATTCTCCATTAACCACGGTGCACACCAGCCAGACACACACACACGACGACTCTATGGGCCACCAACCCACTACTCACATCTCCAAAACACACCATTTTCGCCACACCACGCCAACAGGCCACACTTTCATCACCCTCCAACCACACCTTAAACACACAATCCTCGCCCCCCCGTTTGCTACTCGATAAATCATACAACACGCTACTCGAACCAGACACCAACCACCTCACATCCACCATCTCCCTCCGCAAAACAACCACAATCCACCACCACCCCCCAGCCACCACAACCCCCTTCACAAACCCCTCCTCCAACCCAACCCCACCAATCTCGCACCCCCCTCCCCTCTGCAACCACCAAAAAGTCACCAACCAACCACTCACAAAATCCACCCAAACATCGCCATCATCTCTCCTCACCCCGTCCATCACCTGCTCAGCCCCGTCGCCTGTGGGCCATCGGTGCTTCCCCGCGTAGTTCGTCGCTCCCCTCAGCTGCTCGCCGTGCTGCCTCTGGAAGAAGTAGCCCACGGCCGCGTCGTCTTGGGAGCGCCCGGCGAAGGCTGCCGCTTGAGCCTGTGCCTGGGCTTGCACCGCAGCCGCAGCAGCAGCAGCAGCCGCGGCCGCCGCTTGCGCCTGCACGGGGGCCGGGCTGGGAGGCCGGCCGGCCACGGCGCCCTGAGCGGCCACTATCACCGGCCCCACCGCCGCCTGACTCTCTTGCCAGGTCGTCTCGTTCATCGCCAGCACGCACGGGATACTCATTTCCCGCCGGGCGCCTGCAACGGCGTCGACGAACGACAAGCGAGAAAGGATTAGGACGACGGGCGAAGGAGAATGGAGGGCGGCCGTTCGCCCTCCCGCGCCCGCCGTTTCATTTTTTTCCCTCCCCCCCCCCCCCCTCACAGTAATATTTTACAACAACACTTCGTGACCGCGCATCGACGAAATGGTGGCGCGGCGAGCATCGCCGGTGTCTCGTCGACGTGCATCGACCGTCGGTGCGGGCACTCACGGCTTGTGAAGCCCGCGATGCCGGCGGATGGCGGGGGGCGGCCGCGCCGACAAGTCGCTTAGGGCCGCCGCACCCTCATCCCTGCTCCCAACATGGCGAGCGACATCTCTCCCGCGCACGGCATGACGGGAGCGCCCGCTCCTTCCGGCCAGCCCCTCCCCCCACTTTTCTTGGCCCTCCCTCGATTCCCCCGGAAACCCCGCCCCTCCCCCACTTGTTTCCATCCCCCTACACCAGCCCCGCCCCTCCCCCACTTTCGATTCGTAAATCCATAATAGAGGTCTTTTTTGGAGGGTTAGATCGTGTAAATATAAATGTGTCGTTAAACCCGCCACCACCCGACACAACCAATTAGTGAGGTTTGAAAATTGTTTTTTTACCCTTCTATCTGGCAACAAAACTGACACCTTTTTTACAAGGCATCATGTTTGCAATAACCACAATACAACCAGTCAAAATGCAAACAAAAACATAACTCTGATGATGATAATGATATGCACTGTCCTTGAAGTTGATTGGTCCACACCCGAGACAGCTTTCCTTAGAGCCTAATCTCACATGGGTTGGACCAGATGACGCCAAAAGGCGCACTTTTATCATATTTTTTACTGGCAAATGAGGTTCCAATAGTGAGGTTTGTCACGTAAACAGAACGTGCCCAATTCGTCACTAGTACAGAAACACCTGTATCATGGATGATATTGGTCGCGAAAGCCTACGTGTTAAACCGATTCGTAAATAACCGCTCTGCTGATGAATGAAAAGTGAATGTCGAAACCGGTGCAGAATGAAACAGATTATTTGGTGATGCTCCTCCGTTGGCACTAGCGCACAAGCACACATAACAGAGGCTCAACACGTTACTTGTGTAATAGCTCTGCCTTAAAGTCATATTGTACGGTACAGCACGGAGAATCAAAATATGTTTTATATTGTAAGAATCCGATGAGATATAAACCTCTTTTTGACAGATGTCCAAAGGGGACACGTCAGAACACTACAACAACAAATAATACAAACACAATACGAGTAGAATTTATAAGAAAGCTAAGCAAATCACTAACAAAATTAAACTGAACAAGTTTTTGTTCAACTTGGCAGGTAAAGCTCATTGAGCTATTAGCTTCTTTTTCAGTAGCGACCTGACCCCAAATTATAACTCAACGAAGTGGCTTATCACGTGGCAATTTATAGCCGCCAAATTATCTAAATACTAAACTTGATTTGAAGCTTTCGTGACTGCAGAAATTACTCTTTAGAGCAGAGGAGGGGAACATCCGGTCCGCGGGCCGTACAAGGCCCGCGAAATCATTTGGTGTGGCCCTGCCAAGGCAACCGCAGGCGTGACTCGAAATTCAATAAATCTAGAAGCAAACCTGGAAAAACAGTTACGAGTAGCAACATCATCAATACCAGCTAACATCACACGCCTCACAAAAGAGAAGCAGTTCCAGCCCATCACAGGGGTGAGTTAATTAAATGTTTGACCAAATATAACAGGCAAATTTTTAAGTTGATCATTTTGTATGGCCCGCGAATGGTGTTATAAATATCCAAATGGCCCTTGGCAGAAAAAAGGTTCCCCACCACTGCTTTCGAGTATCTAATTACTCTACACTCATAGACAGGCCCGAGAGGTAAACAGTGGCTGTTGATGGAATTGTTTCTTTACCTAAATTTAAGACAACGCATATCCAAATCATAGCGGTTAATACGCACTGAGAGCTGTTTTTTATTGGACGCACAAAAACAATTCAACCTGCTCTTGCTAGCCCCTCTATCTCACCATTCTTCTCCTGGTCCGCCTTCAAAGCTTGTACCAAGTACTGTAGACGTACTTTCAAGTGTGTCTTTGTTGATTTTGTTTCTTCCCTCCAAACAAATATCTACATTTATTTTTGCGAACCTATTATCCCTGCGGTGGTGGCTAGGCACTCCTTGCAATCTCGCGGACGTTGATGAGGTGCCATACCCTTTGCTCGCCAGGAACAGGCGATACAGCAAACAAATGTGCACTCCAAATGTGTACGCCTTTTGGTGTCATCTGGTCCAACACCAATGGAGACTAGGCTCTAAGAAAAGCTGTCTCGGGTGTGGACCAATCAACTTCAAGGACAGTGCATATCATTATCATTATCAGAGTTGTTTATTTTTGTTTGCATTTTGACTGCTTGTGTTGTGGTTATTGAAAACATGATGCCTTATATAAAGGTGTCAGTTTTTGTACCAGTTGAAAGGAATAGAAACCTATTACTAAATGTACACTCCACCTGTTCCATCCGTGCGGGATAGAGCATTGCCCCCTCGCATGCGTGGGGTTTTCTCCTGGTGCTCGAGTTTCCTCCCACATGCAAACACCCATTTGTTGCCTTCCCGCTCTTCGCACGTGGTTCTCCCTCGCACCTCTGGATCGTCCTCTCTCTCTTTTCGAGAGCGAGCGAATGCGGCACGTTACAAGTTGAAATTATTTTATTCACACGTAACTTATATTTTATTAATGTTTGTCTTGAGCCCAACTTTGCAGCCAACTTTATTATAGTACTTCGATCGACTCGTGTGGTTCAGTACAATTGGTTGCCGTTGTGAATATGCCACCAGCAAATGTGAGTGAGATGAGCAACATTTTCTCATCCTATGTTTGTGCCTTTGTGTCTCCGATGAAATATTCGGAAAATATCTTCACACATTGCTTTAAGTAACTTTGTCGAGAGGCATATATCAGAATATTTATTTATACTGCAGGAGGAGAAATCCGATGAGCTATGCAGCTCTTTTTCACAGATGTCCAGTAGGGGCGGGTAAGAACGTTACAACAACTAACAACACAACACATGATAGCAGTGCAAAGTACAAGAAAGGTTAAGCAAATCACCCAAACGCATACAAATACAACCAGACCATCCCCGTGCTACCAGGCAAAGCCCATTAAGGTATGAACTTGTTTTTCAGAAGCGACCTCGCCACAAAGGACCTACCTTGGCTCCTCCCACCCTCAACCAGTATATATACAAGGACTGTTTTATTGGTATTTCTCTTACTTGATACAGCTATCGTGCTGTGACGGTTACACCTGAAGACGGAGGCTTGTGTTGCCTCCGAAACGTCGTGATTTTTATTTTATTTTTTGTTTTACTTTTATTAATTTAAAATTTTTACCTACGTGACTTTACCAAAAAAACTTAAGAATATGAATCCTTGCAGTCACGAAAGCTTCACATCTAGAATCACAAAGGATAGCTCAATACATTCGTCCATCGTTTGGACATTTATAGCAGCAAAATAATCAGAATAATCTCAATTCATGTTTCTGTATCCATTGTGTCCGTGTGTGTATTATCATACGTTCACCAATACATGGTACCAAGGATCAGAAGTGATCAAAGGAATGGAGAGATGCACGCCTCGAATCGGGCTGAGAGACAGAAAAAGCAACGCATGGATCGAAGAACAAATGTCAGTCCGAGCCATCGAATTGACTGTTCCTAAAAGAAAGTTAGCGGACTTAGGCAGAGCTTATCGCTAACAGGGTAGTAATGCTCGATGGGTGAGACTCAGAAAGGAGTGGCTGCCAAAGGAGAAAAACCTTTGAAACCTGGGTTCGATCCCGAACCATGCTTAAATGTGGTCTAAATCTGGCATAGGTCTCCCCCTAGTTCGACTCGGCCACGTAATAAACACTTGGTGAGGTAGGAGAAGATAAAGACGAGCGGGCATATGTGTGTGTTGCTGGAAAAAATACTTGAGCAGTGTGCTCCGGGTTGGCAGTGGTCTCACTGCGAATAAGTTGAGTTCCATTATCTTTTCATCGGCTGTGTAATGGTGTGTGGAAGCTGCCTGGCTTTTGAAGCTGTCTGGGTTCTTATCTTGAAAAACGTGGACCCATTTTAAAGAACACCTGTGCCAGCTTGACACATTCAGGCTGGTCTGCCTACGTTCCATGCTAAGTGTGTCCATGCTGCATTGTGCGAGAAGCTCACAGCTCCTTGAAAGATATGTGCACCGTTATGAAAAATATATCATTCCAGACACCATCCCATCAGTGAGCTCCTCTGACAGGCGAGGCAGCGTTGGCTGGGTCATGTAGCTCGCATGCTCAGCCATGGCGTCTCCAAGCAGCGTCTGTTTGGCCGGATAGGGGGGGCAAAACGGACGCGGAACGGGACAGAGAAGAGATGGGAGGATGTGGGGTACAGGGTAATGTGGAGCTGATTGGACTTGCCGATGACTGCTACTCGCGGTGCCAAGATCGGCCTCTGTAGAGGAGGCTTGTGAAGGACTCTATTGGGCAATCAGAGGGAGTCACCCTCCAACAACAACAACGGAGGGCAGAGGAGCGACGCCCACAACAACGAGAAAAGCGCCGGTCAGATAAATCACTGTAAGCAGGCAAAATGGGAAGTACAGGTGTGGTATCTGCCAGTCCATCTCAGTCGGTCAATCTCAGCCCCGCGACCTCGAACCAGCGAGTCGTTGACACATAACGTGGCCTCAATGTGCACCTAGCTTGGCACAAGCACCGTGGCGACGTCACCTCCACTTAGTTGCGAATGTGGGTTCCTTTTTTTGTGGCTGGGAAAGACTAAGGGCCCCACCTGTGCCAGGGTGGTCCGTGCGAGGTGCTCGCTCACAGCACAATCACCTTATTTTAAAACGGTGCGTTCATAACAAGACAAAAACTCCCCAACAGTTTACTCACGCACAGTCCTGCAAATTGGAAAAACAATGCGTAAACAAAATTATTAATTATACAGCAATAAACGTTTACTGTATTTAAATCCAAAGCACCTCATAATCGCCGCAAAAATGCCATAATCTCTATTTTTTCCAAGAACAAAGGGCGGATTGCATTATTCCCAGCCCCGACAAGCACATGGACCCGTTAAGTCGATTAATATGATGCAGATCAGGTCGGGAGAGTGGATTAGCCGCAGTCGAGGCACATTCCAAGTTTCCACGAGACGCGCCTGTGTGAGCCCTCTCACTCACTCACTCGCTGGCTTCCAGCAGTGTGAGCTCTCTCACTCACTCGCTCACTGGCTCCCAGCGGTGTGAGCCCTCTCACTCACTCACTCGCCGGCTCCCAGCGGTGTGAGCCCTCTCACTCACTCGCTCACTGGCTCCCAGTGGTGTGAGCCCCATCGCTCACTCACTCACTGGCTCCCAGTGGTGTGAGCCATCTCGCTCACTTACTCGCTGGTTCCCAGTGGTGTGAGCCTCTCGCTCACTCACTCCCTAGCTCGCAGTGGTGTGAGCCCTCCCACTCACTCACTCGCCGGCTCCCGCCGGTGTGAGCCATCTCGCTCACTGGCTCCCAGTGGTGTGAGCCATCTCGCTCACTCACTCGCTGGCTCCCAGTGGTGTGAGCCCTCTCACTCACTCACTCGCCGGCTCCCAATGCCGCTCCTGCAGAAACTCCTCCGCTGTTCCACCTCGCGGGCCCCTTGAGGTGAGAACTCACGCCATGTCATGCGACACGAAGAAACGCGATTTTTTTTTTTACTTTTCTCACAAAACGTGCATCATTATTATTGTTGTAACGCTCGTTAGACTCAAGAAAGCCTAAATTGAGTCTCACGACTCTTTATTTTTCAGGAGGGTTCCTGCCAAGTTGTTTTGCAGTCGTTGCGCGATGATTGCTGCTGCTGCTGTGTAATCCGAGTTGAGTGATTTTCAGGTTTAAAAAAAATGTTCTTCAATTTGCATCGCTGACGCCGACACACGATGGCCCACGCTCTTGCGAACGACCTCGCTATATCTTTAACGTCCACTATGAAGCGTACGGCACGCAGTATTTTATTGCTAATCGCACTAACGCAGTGTTGTTCAGGGCAGCCGCTCGAATTCGAACCGCGAATCTCTGTAACGAGGGGCGAACGAGCTCGCGCGGGGCCGTGCCACCGCCCGGGATTGGGTGCAACGCAGTCATTTCTGGGCTTGAACATCCAGTTCCATGCCTCCCTGCACTTCATAGAATGCAAGGGCGATTTAACGGTGAAGCATCCATGAATTCAGGCCAGTCACTCACTCGCTCGCTCGCTCACTCGCCCGCGTTCAGTCAATCAATCAATCAAATTTTATTTCCTAGAGCATTATTCGTGCAAAAATGTAATGCATGGTGCTTTACAGGCATAAACAATAAAAGTGAAATTTTAGGCAAAATAAAATCACGTTGTAACAAATTTCTAGCGAAGGCATGATAAATAGAACACATTCAGAGAATCCTTATTAAAAGCAAGTTTTAAAAAGTAGGTTTTTAGATTGATTTCAAAAGTGCTTAATGATTCTGAAGCCCTCAGGCTGTTTCACAGGCGAGGACTGTCAACACGAAAAGTTGCTCCTCCCTAGGGTTTGGATCCTGGCCTTTGGGACAACTAAAATACGAGTACCAGAGGATCTGAGCATGGCAGACATGTATACCGCTCCTAGACCACTCAACGACTTAAGAACCAATAGACGAGTCTTAAAATCAATTCTATGGCTCACTGGCAGCCAGTGCAAGAATAGTAAAATGGGTGTTACTTGGGCGATCTTTCTGGTTTTCGTCAGTACACGTGTCGCTGCATTCTGAATTAGTTGCAATTTACTCGTTAATGTCTTCGGAAATTAACGAGTAAATTGGTGGTAAAGGCATGCACCAGTCTCTCAGTCGTAGAGCTGATGATGCCGACTGCGACGTTCAAATCCGCATCCTTTTCGCCCTTCGACCGCTAATGCCACGGTTACTGTTCCCGCACACTCCGCTGATCTCTTCTTTCTCCCGTGTTGAGGATTCGGTCCACCAGAGTGACTTTCGTCTCATCGACACTCACCGTGCTCAACCACCACCACTGCAGGTCACGACGGCACACAACAAAGACAAAGATCCCCCGTATAGCCTTAACAGACTGTCGGGGGCAAGTGCTGTTAGCGAGCACTCAAGAAGGCCGGGCACGGCAGGGAGGCCAGGGACCGATTCAGATAATCGCCGCTGGTGTTCGTGGACGTGAGCGGAAATCGAACTCGGGTGGGCGGGTTCGCACAGCAGCGTGCTAACTGCTACACTACCGCTCCACATAACAACACTCACTCACCCACTCACCCACTCACCACACTGCAGGTCACAACACTTCTTTTAATGTTGTTTTCCTTGCACTGCTCCACTTTGGATGTCCGTCCTCCCATCGTCTCTTTCCCCAAGTTCTTATAATTCACGAAACGTGTTAACGCTCATTCATTACAACCTTAAGAGTGTTGTTTTGAGTTTGGTGAGTGGTGAGGGTGTGTGTGTGTCTGGTGAGTAGTTAATTTATGGTGAATGGGCTGTCTCTGCTAAGTGTGAGTTCGGCGAGTGTATTGTGTCTGGTGAGTGGTCAAGTGTGTTTCTTATGAGCTGTGGGTAAGTGGTGAGTGTTCGGTGAGTGGTGAGCGTGTGTAACTGGCGAGTTTTTGGTGAGTTTCAAGTGAATGTCTTGTGAAGGTCAGGTGAGTAGTGCTTTGAAGGTCAACACGACCCTGTTTGCAGGAGGGGCTGCCGTTGACCTGTGCCGCATAAGCGATCACACATTTCGGAGATGAAAAGTATAACGACGATATACGGGTGCCTTTAAAAAGTTTATATTTCCGTATGACTGATGATGAGGAAGTTGGCGATGATGATGAGTTGATGAAGTTGGCAAGAGAATGATGTGCGACTGTTGCTAATGATGATGGTCATTATATGGAGTTGGCAGTGACGATGGTGATAATGATTTTATTAACTTGATGGTAATAATTATTGCATGCAGTTGGTAGCAATGATGATTATGTGTTTGTTTATGTTTCTGGTGATAACAGTGATATATCCTACTCTAGGTGCCGTACACTGGCAATCTCAACAAACTCCCATCACTCACAAACCCCACATCACACCCATCACTCATCACTGACAAATCCCACATCCCCCCCAACACCCATCACCGACAAACTCCACATCACCCCCATCACCCATCACCGACAAACCCAACATCACCCCCATAACCGACAAACCCCACATCACACCCATCACCCATCACCGACAAACCCCACATCACACCCATCACCGACAAACCCCACATCACCCCCATCACCCATCACCGACAAACCCCACATCACAGCCATCACCCATCACCGACAAACCCCACATCACCCCCATCACCACAACCCACATCACCCATCACCCATCACCGACAAACCCCACATCACACCCATCACCCACAAACCCCACATCACACCCATCACCCATCACCGACAAACCCCACATCACACCCATCACCGACAAACCCCACATCACCCCCATCACCCACAAACCCCACATCACACCCATCACCCATCACCCACAAACCCCACATCACCCCCATCACCCAGACCGATGCCCCCACGACCACGACGGCGTGGGGGCGCGCCGCGCTGCGCGCCCCACAGCCCCACGCCGTCATCACCCACCACAGCCATCACGGCGCGCACACCATCACCACCACAACCATCAGCTCATGCCACGCGCTTGCCAGCGACGGACACCCCAGATGCCGCACCTGCCACCACCACCAGCACCACCAGCAGCACCACGAGCAAGCTACACCTACAGCGGGAGCTGGGACTCATGAGCGGCGCGTCTCTCATCGCCGGAACCATGATCGGATCGGGCATCTTCATGTCCCCCGGCTGGGTGCTGCGCTACGCCGGCAGCGCGGGCGCCAGCCTGCTGGTGTGGTTGGCCTGCGGCGTGCTGGCCACGCTGGGCGCGCTCTGCTACGCCGAGCTGGGCACTCTGATGCGGGAGTCGGGCGGCGACTACATCTACGCGCTGCGCACCTACGGCCCCGTGCCCGCCTTTCTGTTCGCCTGGAGCTCCGTGCTGGTCGTGCGCCCTGCCAGCATCGCCGCGGGGGCCCTCAGCTTCGCACGCTACGCGGCCGCCCCCTTCTACCCCGAGTGCGGCGCCGCGGGCCCCCCGCCGCTCGTCACGCGCTCGCTGGCAGCCGCGTGCGTCGTGGCGTTGACGCTCGTCAACTGCGCGAGCGTGCGTCTGGCCGCGGGCCTCCAGAACGCGTGCACCGCGGTGAAGGTGGCCGCGCTGAGCGCCGTGGCGCTGGGCGGCGTGGTGCTGCTGGCCCGCGGCGCAGCCGTGCACGGTCTCACGGACGCGTTCGTGGCCGTGTCGACGTCGTCGGTGTCGAGTGACGTGTCCGGGGCCACCAATGATGACGCCGATGCAGCCGCGGCTGCAGCCGGTACGGCCGCGGGGCAGTCCGCGGCGTCGACCTCGTCGATCGGACTCGCCTTCTACCAGGGACTGTGGTCCTACGACGGCTGGAACAACTTGAACTTCGTGACCGAGGAGCTGGGGAGACCCGAGGTGGGTGCCGGATGATTGGGAGGGGTTTGAGTGGGGAGAGCGCCGACGGGAGGGCAGGTAGTCGCTGGTGGGCACGTTGGTGAGTGTTAGCTGGAGGGAGAGTGCTTGTGAGTGGGAGGGCAGGTACTAGAGTGACTGATTGGGTTAGAGGTAGGGAGAGTCCGAGTCGCTGGTGGGCACGTTGGTCAGTGTTAGCTGGAGGGAGAGTACTCGTGACTGGCTGGCTAGTTGATTAGGGTCAATGCTATATACCCGTGGCTAAGTGGATCGTTTGCCTGGGTAAGTTATGAGCACTTGTGGATGGGTGGTTAGTTTGTTATGGTTAGCAAGAGGGAAAGTAAGACATCCTGATGGGCTAGTTTGCTCGAGGTAGGGCTGGAATCGTGTTGATTAGTGTGCTATTTTCTCTTAGAACGTATTAAACCGTCAATTCTGCATACATTTTAAGTTAAAACATTCGTGACCGCAGGAATTCCTATTCTTGGTTCTTTTGGTAAAGTCACGAAAATCATTATTTTTTAAACCCAATAAAAAAAAATTAAATCATAAAAGCAAAAAACCCACGACGTTTCGATCGCAACACAAGCGGTCTTCATTTTAGTATTTAAATTTAGTATTATTATTAAAAAAAATTGTATACATATTGCTCAGTGGCGGACGTAACTCAATACTCATCTTCTCTTCCATGATTTTACTCCTTCTCCGCGAGACCACAGGGATGCACGACCAGCATAAATCATGCATGACCAGCATAAATCATTATTCATTCATTCACTCATTCCTTCCTCACCTACCATTAGACGTATGCCGTGTGTTGTAAACGGTCTCCGTACATGTGTCGTATGTTTGGTTTCAGGCGACACAAATACTTCCCAAACACTACCACTGTAGATAAAGTTCAAGTTCATTTTATTAGGTATAGCCCTGTGAGCCATTCGGTTCTTGAATCGGGGGCAAACGCAACAAACAAAAAACAAAAACATGAACAAGAAAACATCTTAAAGTGACTATGTGACTATGTGCAAACAGAAAATCCAAGAAAAGACAGCAAAATATTGCAGAAAAAGCACCGTGCACCAACGCTGTGTGCAAACATCCCAGTGGGATGCAAGTCAAACAACAACAACAACCACAAGACAACTTAGATTAAGGCCATCAGTCTAACTCCGAAACCACCACCCGTACACCTTGCATCGAATGATGATTCTAAAATATACAATTAAAACACCATCACCATTGCCACCATCATGATCATCACCACCACCACCACCATCGCTTCCGTTATACCACCACAACCACCTACTATAGCCTCACCGCAAATACCACCACCAGCATCAGATATTACCACGATCACCACCAACACCATGATCACTAACAACAGCGGGTTGTTTGAACAACAGCGGCGATCTTAAACATGGGGGCATATAATTGATACAATTTCCGTACGAAAATTTATTTTTCTGTTCTGGCCTTCATTCTCCACTGGTAGCTTAGCACGCTGCATGACAACAACAGGGAGCTCGCACACAGACAGCACTTGCCCGTTTCGCACGCATACGTCCACGTTGTGTCCATCTAAAACTCACGTGCGCTCACGCACGTTCAAAGTGCACCTAGCCTGGCTCGACCGCCTGTGGTGACGTCACCACCACGTAGCGACGAGCGGCGGCTGTAGTGGCTACGGACTTTTCATCTGCGTTCACGTGTGCTCACACGTGTGCTCACGTGTGTGCTCACGCCTTCATGTGCGCCGACGCGCGTGCATGCGCGTTGATGGCCGTTCACGCGTGTTCATGGCAGGTGACCTTGCCCCGTGCCATCCTCATCGCCCTGCCCATGGTCACGCTTCTCTACCTGTTCGTGAACATGAGCTACCTGGCGGCGATGACACCCGCAGAGATTCTCTCCTCCAGCGCCGTCGCCTGGACGTGGGGGTGAGATCTTCGTCTTTTTTGTTTATATTTCGGCCTCCCCGGAGTCGTCTTGTGTCAAATGACCTTGCCCAACGATGCTCATGCCGCACCGCGCTACATCGGCACGGTGCTTAAAAAGTGTCCACTTGTAACGCGCCGCGCAGCGTTCGCTCGCTGGCTCGCTCTCGAAGAGAGAAAGAGACGGACAGAGAGGGGGGCTACTCAGAGGCGCGAGGAGGAGGAACCACAGACGAGGAGCGGGAAGGCAGCAGCAGCAGCAGCCACGCGGCGAGGAGCCGGCGCCAATAATTTCCCGAGCTCTGCGGCCATCTATGTATTAAGGTGTCACGGGGTCAATCAATTCGTGTTTATACACGTGGGAGGAAAACCGGAGCACCCGGAGAAAGCCCGCACGTGCGAGGGGGGAACACTCTATCCCACGGGTCGGCAACCAAAATAACAAGAAGAGCCATTTTTTTTTATTAATTCGGTAAAACCAAAAACTCCGCATTTCAAGAGCCGCATTGCACGTGGCTACGAGACGGTGGTCCTCGCTAAATAACGCGTCACGAAGCAGCCATTAAAGAGCCGCAGGTTTGCCGACCCCGGCTCTAACACATGCAGACGAAACAGGTGGAGTCCACGCGGAATGTTTTTGCTGAACTGCCTTCTCCTGGCGAGCCAGGGTGCGGCACCTCCTCGACGTCCACGGGAAGGGAGTTTCGCACCGTCTGTGCGCTGTGTGTGCGGCGATCCACCAGCCCCTCGCTGCTGCCTCCACAGTGCTGGATTACAGGCGACTACGTGCAGCAGAATCAGCAGCGTAGCCACCACCATCACGACCACCCGAATCGATTCTCCGTTTCATGACATGAGACGGAGAACCCATTCGGAGAAATGTCCCGCAGAATCGGATGAGATGCCTTCAAGTGACCTCTGGTCCGCATTATAAGAGGCAGCATTTCCCTGCCAACTCACCCACCCACGCTGCCACAGAGATAATTATTTTGACGCACGATAGGCAGAGCTGTCTTTTTAATTCTCAGATGTGGATATGCTGTATCATACAATGAAACGCAGAATCAAGTTTCATTTGATGGGGATTTTTTGTATGTGTGTGTGTACACTCTGATCATCAGGCTGAGATGGTAAATCCACTATGATTCAATAGATCGTGGCTATAAATGACCTATGACCCTTGATGTATGTAAACACAACCGCGATCACATTATTCACTGTAAACTTTAAAACTAAGTTGCCCATTGTCGCCACTGAGTGCCACATGTGACTGCCACTTGTGACTGTCACCTGTGACTACTACCTACCACTGCCACCTGTGACTGAACCGTCACCCGCTGTGCACGGGTGCCCTGTTGACCCTGCACCCCCTCCCCCCACCCTCTCCACGAATCTCCGCCCGTTGTGGCAGCGCTCGAGTGATGGGGGCCGCTTCGTGGCTGATGCCCGTGGCGGTGGCGCTCTCCACTCTGGGCTCGGCGAACGGGATGTTCTTCTGCGGGGGCCGCGTGTGTTGCGTGGCGGCCAGAGAAGGGCACACGGTGAGGGGCGGGGCGGGGGGGCAGTGAAGGGGCTAGGGTTATGAAGGTGAGGTTCTAAAGGATCGGGTTTCACGACCCTTCGTCATCATCAGGAAGGGCGGCCACGAGATGTGAAGATGGGGGCATCATCATCAGTCACATCAGCATGAGTAGCTTCATCATCGTCGCAGTTCGTGGCAGCATTGTCATAAGCGTTGATAGTATCATCATTTTCAGCAGCAGTATGATCGGTCGTCGTCATCATAAACAGCAATAATACAATTTAATAGCCACCAATTTAATTCCGTCATCATTACCATCACGCTGGTCATCGTCGTTCATCACATAATCGCACGAGAAGCATCAGCAATGTTATCATTGCCGCCAACTTCATCTCCATCATCATCAAGATAATTGTCTTTATTAAAATCATCATAGCCATCATACCCATGATGCTCACACACATGTGTGTGTGTGCCGTTGTGTGCGCGCGTTCATTTATGAGCAGCGGCACAGTGGTTGGCGAACCGCTCTACGAACCCAGCGAGTCGAGTTCCATTCCCGCTCACGACCAGAAAACAGTGACAAGATATCCGAACCCAACCTGTGCCTCCGTTAGGTCGACTCAGCCGTGAATTAATACAGTAACCCTGGTGCAGTGCGTAAACACGCGCGCCGGATTGGGGAGAGACAAAGGCGGCAGGGGGCGTGATGCTCATCGCCACGATGTCACAGCACCTTTGCCCCCCCGCGATTCTGTCGAAGGCTGCCCGCGGACGATGCATCTTTGTCCGTGTCGCTCAGCTCTCCATCCTGTCGATGGCCCACGTGCACCGGCTCACCCCGGCGCCGGCCCTGATGTTCACCGCGCTGCTCTCGCTGCTCATGGTCGCCTGGGGAGACTTCGGTACAATCGTCAACTACTTCAGGTGCCGGCCGGTGCCGACTCGGCTATTGCACTGGAGGGATGGCGGGGGGGGGGGGTTGCCGCCTGCAACATCTCCCCGCTAATTAGTACAATGCAGTCAAACCCTCGTTTAGGTCGCCACCTTTTTTGAACGTCGTTTCGCAAATACGTCGCCGCTGTATTATTATTATTCACACACCCGCTACTCGGTTTTGCGTCGCATCAGCCTCCCGCGCGTCCGCGTCCTTCCTCGTTACTCCGTCGCCTCTCAGCCTCCGTCACCAGCTACTCTCTTAGACCGCGCTCTGATTTACGTCGTTTTCGGTCATTCGTTGCCGTACCTTTCCGGAACTTTCCTGCATTTCCACGTTCTGAACCAAATTCCCCCCCCCCTCCCCCCATTGCTTCCGCGAAGGGCTAAATGAACAGAATTAACGCCTCCCGTCTGCTAATTGCGCTGCGTTCTGTGTTGTAAGATATGGAAAAAAAATCTATACTGTGTACAAGTAAAAGGCATGCACAGGTTTTAAATCATAAGCATTTCTGCTTGGGAAATAAATTATTTGAAGATGCTGCCAGTGATGTGTAAGAACAATTAATGGACAACACATGCTACGTAGAAAGGGTCATCGCCATAAACATCGCCTGTTATATGTAATTTATTTTAAAACCACAGTGTTATTGACACATTTGTCGAGTTTCGTTTTCTTTTTCTGAGAAAGAGCCGCTCCGTTCACTCGATTCATTGCCATCTGTACCGGAACGACAGCCAATGTTTACACATTGTCCGTTCGAGGTTTATGAAGACATTTAAAGGCCGTTGGTTACGCGCTCGTGAATTGCCTTCGATCAATGGTTTTGATGGGCGGCAGTTGTTGACGATGTGCTCCATCCAATCACTCTTGTCAGGTCACTCTCAGACTCGTCCTGGTCTCTTGAATTCTCACCTACTTCTTCTTCTTCTTCTGCGTACGGCTGATGTTAATGAAGCGCAGCAGCTGTAACCTTACACCGAGGGCCGGTGAGCCAGAGCATTGCGTCCAGGAGCAGCGGAGCGCACCGCTGCGATGATGCCCCCTCCGTCGCGCGCACGAATCGGGAATTGAGTCGTTATGATGTCCCACGGTTCCTGTTCTGAGTGACCTCCCACAGTCGATGACTGGAGAGTCGTTTTTATTTCTTTCCCATTTGTGCATCACGCAGCCCACCCTGTTCACTGAGAAGTCACGACGATTGCCATCGACCGAGCGACCGAACATCGGTCCAACGATCTCCTTGGCCCTCCAAAGCAACAGCCGTCACCTGGTTAAACAAAAAGTCAACTTGAATGTTGGTTCCACTCCGCAGTTGCAGGTGGAACTACAAATACACCACAAATGCCACCGTGCGTAGTCCTACATCCTGTACTTGGCCCTGACCTTTCTTGCCCATGAATGGTGGGGAGGGGGGGACGACGACATTTTGCCTATGCCCACTCTCTAGTTGTGCAACCAATTCGCCCTGCAAATCGCGCAACTTCATCATCGTCTGCGACCGCTTTGTCCACAACTGCTGGGCGCGCAGTTGCGCAGTGGAGGGAAGTTAGATGGCGCAGCTGTTCAGGATTGCCACAGCCAATCACGGTCGCGCAAATGTGTCACGTGGTGATTTATAATATGCGTCGATCAAAATGTTCTGAGCGGATCGACGGTTTAAAAAAGTCGGGTCTGTACTCTACTGCGAGCAACCGGTTGCACAACCGATTGCAACCCGTTGCAGAGACGTCCACGTAAGCAACTCGGGTCTGTACTCTACTGCTATCAACCGGTTGCTCAACCGATTGCAACCCGTTGCAGAGACGCCCACGTCAGCAACTCAAGTTGCATGCAACCAACTCGCGCAACTGACTGCAACCGGTTACAGAGGTGTCCACATACAAGCGGCTCGGTTTCAAATCCACGTGTACGCAACTGATTGTTCAGGCGTTTTTCAGTTTCAGTTTAATTTATTAGATATAACCCTGTGAGCCATGCGGCTCTTGACTCGGGTGCAACAGCAACAAAACAAAAACATGAACAAGAAACATCTTAAAGTGACTACACGCAACAGAAAAATCCAGGCTTTAGGAATACCGCGTGTCACGACCCCTCGCCCGCATCTCCCTTCTCCCCCCTCTCCACCTATGCTCCCCCCCCCCAATCTGATATACCCCCAGCTTCACGTCCTGGTTTTTCTACGGCATCACCGTCTCCTCGCTGCTCTACCTCCGCTACGTGAGACCCGACAGCCCCCGGCCGTACAAGGTTCGTGCCCAACTTCATCATCACTCGGTCGTCGTTGTTAGAACTGTCTTATTATTATTATTTGTACGGGACGACCTTTTTATGTCAGGATCAAAGTATGAAAAATAAGAATAGGGTTTACACTTTCTGGTAATAAACAGATGTTGAGATGTTCAAAGACCAAATGCTGTAGATGTAACGATATTATTTGATTTTTGATCATCTTAACACCTCTCATATTTGCAGTGTCTTTGCACTGTTCGTCATTTGGCGTTCTCTGGTCTGACACTGGTGAGACGAGGCCAATCAGTTTTAAAACAATGCATTATTATCAGAGCCACGTGTATTTTTGCATGTTTTGCCACAAGTACGTGTGGTTAATGCAGACTTGATTCCTTGCAAAAGTTTATATTTGGTGTTTGAAGATCTTAACCACCTGTTTTATTGTCAAAGAGTAAAACATAATGGGACCTCCTTTGCCAGTACTAAAATATGATAATAGGTTTTCCCCTTTTTTCTGGCAACAAAACAGGTGTTAAGATGTTAAAACACCAAACTGAAACCTTTTACAAGGAATCTTGTCTGCATTAACCACAACACTTGTGGTCAGAATGCAAAGAAAAAACACACTCTGATAATATATGCATTGTCTTTGAAACTGATTGGTCCACACCAGAGACAGATTTCTTTTGAGCCTAGTCTCAAAACCGATTCCTTGTCAAAGGTTTCAGTTTGGTGTTTTAACATCTTAACACCTGTTTTGTTGCCATCAAAAAGTGGAGAACTTATTCTCAAAGAGTAAAACCTCTACTTATTTGTGATTATTACGATAACACTTGTTTACCCAGGAAAGCCTTGCTGAATCTTACGACTCTTTGTTCAGGAAGTTTCCTGCCATGTTTTGCTACGTACGGTACTGTAGAATCCAAATTCTTTACGTTCAGGAGCTGTGTAACGATGGCACCATCATTCCATAATTATAACAATTGAGTACATTTGCTATTTGCGGTACTCTTATAGACGCAAGGCCATCACCGAGGAAGACGCTATGTTTTGCCGTGCGAAATTCGAATTGAGTAATTTGCGGTGTAATATTTGTAAACTATGGACCATGAGGACGCCGGCACACAATGACCCCACTCGTTTCGAATGACATTGCGGATTCTTTAATGTTTGCCGTCAAGCCGACGGCGCGGATATCATGGTCATTGCACCCGCATCAATAACCATGGCTGTACGCCGTATCTGCACCGCGAACCTCCGCAACAAATTGTGTCGGAACATGGGACAGCTGCCAGTGGGGGTGCCCTTTAATAACTCTTGAGATGACATGGTATTGCATGTACGTTAAACTTCTTTTGCACCGTGCGTGTGGATCCAAGTCACTTATCTCGTGCTTAGCAATTGAGGCAGCCCAGCGTAAAGGGCACTCGACCAAAACACTAAAACCGCATTTATTAAAGAGGCCGCTGCTACATTCCCCATGTCATCGATCCTTTAGAAACTCGGGAACTCTTCTCTCGTACTCGCAAAGGTAGCGACGGAAGACCCTCGCGATCCTCTCTCCTCCGCAGGTCCCCCTCGCGGCGCCGGTGCTCGTGGTGATCACGGCCGCGTGCCTCGTGCTGGCCCCCATCCTGGAGGAGCCGCACATCGAGTACCTCTACGTGGTAGCCTTCATCTTCAGCGGCCTCCTCTTCTACGTGCCCTTCGTGCACCTGGGCGTGCGCTACGCGGGCATGTCCCGCATCACCACCCACCTCCAGCTGCTGCTGCAGGTGGCGCCCTTGGAGGTCAACAGGGACTGACGACGCGTTTCCACGGCTGTCGGGAAGCAGACCCGAGCCGCGCCGAGACGGCCTGGGGACAGCAGCGGCCTCCGCTCGTGTTGTTGTTGACGCACTTCTAAGGGCCGTGCGCCTCCGTTGTTCTCTGCCTCTCTCGTGCTCTCCGTTCCCCCCCCCCCCACATCCTTTCTCTCTATGGCCGGAGGGAAAGGGTCACAATTTGTGTTTTAGCAAGGTGTAACGTATGCTTGGATTCAATCACGCCATCCTATGCCAACATGTATTGGGTGTTTTATGTACTTTTCCTGCCATGTTTTCTTTCTAACAAAAACGTTACATTGATTAGATTATTTGGCTGCTATAAATTCCCACACGATAAGCCACTTTCTTTGAGCTATCATTTGTGACCAGGTCGCTTTTGAAAAAAAGAGCTAATAGCTCGGTGGGCCTTACCGAGTAAAATAAATAGTTAGAGTCTATATTGACCTCGGCGGGAAATGCCACTGACCCAGTGTCTCTCTTATGCCTTGTCCCCTATGACATATTTCAAGGGATGGTTCAGGTGAGAGCATGCAGTTCCTTTAGGAACAGGAGCCACGCAGCCAAATTCAAGTGAGTCACAGGGCCACAAAGCCACAGAGCCAGGTTAAGTACTGGCTTGGCCCTGGGAATTCAAGCTGAGCCCACTCGCCCAGTTCATATGAACTGAGCTGGCTTGCTTCCCGGTGGCTCTGGGGAACGTGGAAAATAAGGCTCTGTCACGTGGGGTGGGGGGAACTCCCACATACGCATAATCTATAACATAACTGAGGGGCTTCTATTTCGGTGGCTTAGACGTCCGCGTCACGAACCGAGTCACCATTGCCGAGATCCATGGTTGCAATTTTGGGCCCTCTTATTGAAAAAAATTTAATGATACTTTGGGATGCTCCTGCGCGTTGGCAATTACTTGTTGATTCGGGTCTCTTGTGGAAAATATATATTAAGTCCGAATAGGTTCTCACCGTTTCAATAACGGTCAAGCAATGGGGTGGAAAGTCGAACCGTGGTGAAGATTCGAGTTTGGGAAACCTGCCCCAAGTAAAACCAGATGCTCTGAATTGTAGACAAGTGACGAATCGCAGCCAAGCCACCATTCACTGTGCACACAAAAGGTAAAAACGTATCAATTTGAACGTCATATAGTTAAGTCCAGATACGTTTTCGTGGGCTGACAAACAACTTAAAGCTGTAGAAAGCGCAGCTGCTCGGGTACGATAGGTCCTTAAGGGATTCTGGTCTGCACTGCCACGTTTAAGACAAAAAAAAAACAAATCTCAGTTGTTGAGCACAGGCTGAGAGGCCCAAAACGCTCAGCGGCCAGCAACAAATAGGTCTAATAGATAACATTATTATTATGATAAGGACTTAGGGAAAAAGACGATGGGAGGGAATTCCAGAGTGGAGCAGTGCGTGGGAAGAAGCAGAAAGAGAAGTGATGTGACCTGTAGTGTAGTGAATGAGTGGGAGAGTGAGTGTGTAGTTGTGACCTGCAGTGTAGTGAGTGAATGAGTGGGAGAGTGAGTGAATGAGTGGGAGAGTGAGTGAACGAGTGGATCAGTGAGTGAATGAGTGGGAGAGTGAGTTAATGAGTGGGAGAGTGAGTGAATGAGTGGGAGAGTGGGTGAATGAGTGGGAGAGTGAGTGAATGAGTGGGAGAGTGAGTGAATGAGTGGGAGAGTGGGTGAATGAGTGGGAGAGTGAGTGAATGAGTGGGAGAGTGAGTTAATGCGTGGGAGAGTGAGTGAATGAGTGGGAGAGTGAGTTAATGAGTGGGACAGTGAGTTAATGAGTGGGAGAGTGAGTGAATGAGTGGGAGAGTGAGTGAATGAGTGGAACAGTGAGTGAATGAGTGGGACAGTGAGTTAATGAGTGGGAGAGTGAGTGAATGAGTGGAGGAGTGAGTGAATTAGTGGAGGAGTGAGTGAATGAGTGGGACAGTGAGTGGGAGAGTAAGTTAATGAGTGGGACAGTGAGTGGATGAGTGGGTTAATGAGTGGGTGTTCAGTTGTGACCAGCATTACGGTGGTGAAATACAGTCAGTGTTTATAGACCCCAGTCCTCAAAATCGAGTGAATTTCATGGAAACTATCCATGATGTAGTGTTACTCTCCAGCAAATGAGTTGCTTTCTGTTGTACATTAATTAATCGTGGAGTTTATATATTGGTGGGGAAAGGAAAATACATTTACAATATTCACACAATCGACCACAGTATGTCACGAAATATCTGTTTTCGCTGTCGTGGAACCGATGACTGACCCTGATAACTCCCTAAAAGTGAAATGATTCTAATCTCCTGCACGAAACGTTGCATTATTAAAATGTTGCGCAACATTTAATGTGTTAAAGACTGCAACTGTGCTGCTTCTGTCGCGCAATAGTTGCACAGTACCGAGCCGACAATAATTAAAATCGTTAGGGATGCGTTAAATCATTAATTAGCAGGGGCTTGTGCAAGGCCGACGCCCGCCCTCCCCTCTTGCCTGGATGGCTGGCCCAGGCGGGGCACTTGAAACCCGGCGGGGATCCAGGCAAGAGAAGGCGCCGGCCTTGGCCCGTGATATACAGTTTCCAAATGTATTTAAAATTAAATTAAATTTTAACTTTACTGTGATAACCCACGTAAGCTCACTGAACCCAGTACTATGTATTACATGCGTAACAACATGCACATTAACGACTTCGAACAAAGTTGCTATTGTATTATTGGTTCGTTCGGTAAAGTCACGTAGAAGGGAAACAATACAATAATAAAAATATAAAACAATAACATTCTCACGACGTTTCGATTGCAACACAAGCAATCATCATCAGGTGTGAAAACCATGCTTCACAACCACATGATGATTGTGTTGCAATCGAAAAGTCGTGAGAATGTTTTAAATATTTTTTAATTATTTTATTGTTTCCCTTCTACGTGACTTTACCGAAAGAATCAAGAGTATGAATCCCTGCAGTCACGAAAGCTTTAAATAAAAATGTAAAAGTTGCTATTATTCGTTGCTTTATTACTGGTGCAACCTGAACAACACCACAGTTGCAAGCAACATTGTTGCTAAGTTGCTACCATTAACCTCAGTGCAACCCTGACCTAATACAGTGAGTGGTTGTCAGCTATATTGGTTATGCAGCCCTCTCCATTCAAACCCATACCTTTAGTTTTTTATGTAGTTTATACTTTAGTTTTCTACGTTGTTGTTTAGTAACTGCAGCTACATACTATTAACATTCCTTTCCTTTGTTAATGCTACTGCACCCCCCCTTGGTGCTGTTGATCCTGCATAATGCATGGGCATAATATGACTTTGAAACCCCCCCCACCCACCTCCTACGCATTTCCCATGAATATGCTAAATTCCTCTTCATATGCACATTCTTTTTGTTAAGGCGCTCTTGCACCTCCAACCCAGCGTATATATAAGCTCCTAGCTTGGTAGTGTCTCATTCTTCACCTGAAGACGGCTGCTTGCGTTGTAGCCGAAACGTTGTGAGAATTATTTTATTTTATTATGTTTTATTTTTATTATTCTATTACTTCCCTTCTACGTGACTTTACCGAAAGAACCAAGAAGATGAAACCCATACCTGTCAACTTACACGGCTTACCAGGGCAACACTGTTTTTTGTCTATTTGTGTTTCTCCCTTGTGATGGGACTTTGTAAGATGAACGTGGACATTTATAAGGGCACGGGGTGACCAATAAGGGTCTGAATTGGTCTGTAATAAAGTAGGGCACTGATAAGGGGTTGACAGGTATTCTGGGCCTTACTTCCCCCACAAATCGTTAGGCTCCAAAAATACAACCACGGTGGCTAAGGACACAATAGAGGTCACATATCTTCACGCACTCAGATCAAAGAAGTTGTTAGTAAATGCATTTTGTTGTTGCATGTTGTGTTTTGGTAATGTGAGATTTGTAGTTGCATGTTGTGTCTTGGTGGTGTGAGATTTGTTGTTGCATGTTGTGCTTTGGTAGTGTGAGATTTGTTGTTGCATGTTGTGTTTTGGTAGTGTGAGATTTGTTGTTGCATGTTGTGTTTTGGTAGTGTGAGATTTGTTGTTGCATGTTGTGCTTTGGTAGTGTGAGATTTGTTGTTGCATGTTGTGTTTTGGTGGTGTGAGATTTGTTGTTGCATGTTGTGCTTTGGTAGTGTGAGATTTGTTGTTGCATGTTGTGTTTTGGTAGTGTGAGATTTGTTGTTGCATGTTGTGTTTTGGTAGTGTGAGATTTGTTGTTGCATGTTGTGCTTTGGTAGTGTGAGATTTGTTGTTGCATGTTGTGTTTTGGTGGTGTGAGATTTGTTGTTGCATGTTGCGTTTTGGTAGTGTGAGATTTGTTGTTGCATGTCGTGTTTTGGTAGTGTGAGATTTGTAGTTGCATGTTGTGCTTTGGTAGTGTGAGATTTGTTGTTGCATGTTGTGTTTTGGTAGTGTGAGATTTGTTGTTGCATGTTGTGCTTTGGTAGTGTGAGATTTGTTGTTGCATGTTGTGCTTTGGTAGTGTGAGATTTGTTGTTGCATGTTGTGCTTTGGTAGTGTGAGATTTGTTGTTGCATGTTGTATTTTGGTAGTGTGAGATTTGTTGTTGCATGTTGTGCTTTGGTAGTGCGAGATTTGTTGTTGCATGTTGTGCTTTGGTAGTGTGAGATTTGTTGCATGTCGTGTTTTGTTCGTGAGATTGATTATTCCGTGTTGTATTGACTTTGTCTTCATGAGGTATGTTTTACAGGGTATACTAGTATGTGTTGTATTTCGAGTTAGTGTGGTGTAGGTAAGGTAATTTCGTGATCGTGTTTGTTTAGGCATGCGTTTCATGACGCTATCAGTACTCTTTGGTTCTTTCGGTAAAGTCACGTAGGTAGAAAAATAATCCAGGTAGGAACAACAGGTTCCACACTGCCCACCAGGGATTATTTGTCTGTCTGTCGTGCATATTTGTCTGTCGTGCACGAATGCGCTGTCCAACCAAGTTCCTACCTGCCCACTCCGATGGAACGTGTTAGATCACGTTTCGATCGCAACACAAGCAATCGTCATCAGGTGGGACAACCACTGCATGAAAAAACTGCAAAAGTAGGCTTACTTCAGCAAAAACTGCCGACGCTTAAGCCTACTTGAGCAGTTTTTTTTCTTGCTGTAGTTGTCCCACCTGATGATGATTGCTTGTGTTGCGATCAAAACGTCGTAATCTATGATTTTTCTACCTACGTGACTTTACCGAAAGAAGCAGAGTATGGATTTCTGCAGTCACGAAAGCTTCAAATCGACGTTATCAGTGTTTGCTGTTTGTTATGCATGTATCATGTTGCGTGTTAGCATGTTTTGTGTTAAGGCATGCGTTTCACGTTGTGAGTCAAGTGTTTCGTCACCGGAAGCTGTTGCCAACGTTCCCCATGCACATTCAAAACTCAGCTTGCACGGTGTTTACGCTCCACAAAATAGACTGGTCTGCAATGGCTCGTCATCGCAACTGTTTGAAGGGAAATTTAGAAGTTAATTCCTGAAAACTAAGGAAGCTTATGCCAAACATAGGCACCTTCGCCGCCTTGTGTGTGTAGTTGCAATGACTATGCTTATAAGCCGAGCAGTATTTGGTAGGTAGAAACAAACAGCTAAACATTAAGAATGTTTTTGTTGGTATTTTAAAGGACTGTAAAGTTTTATTTGACTTTTAAAATACATTAAAAGTGTAATAACAAAACAGCTATACAGTTTTGTTCACGACGAGACGGTGTGTGAAATTGTGGTGGCATGGACATTTATGGCGGTGACGATGATGTTGGTGGTTGTGGTGATGATGGGTAGCATTGATGGATAAACATGATGAGGGTGAAGGTGATGGTATCAAAATTGACGGTGGAAGTGGTTTTTGTGACAGGTAGCATTAAAGGAATACGAATTCTGACGGTGGTGATGGTAATGGTTTTGGTGATGTATAGCATTCAGAATGATGAGATAAGGAGTAGTGATTATTATGACGACTTAATCATCTAGGAAAAGATGAATAGTAATATAGACATTCTTTGCGTCTTTCGGTAAAGTCACGTAGATAGAAAAATTAATAAAATAAAAATCACGACGTTTCGATCGCAACACAAGCAATCGTCTTCTTTTTCACCTGAAGACGGTTGCTTGTGTTGAGATCGAAACGTCGTGATTTAGATTTTATAATTTTTTCTATCTACGTGGCTTTACCGAAAGAGCCAAAGAATATGAGAATATATAACAATATATTCTTGCAGTCACGAAAGCTTTAAGTCAAGAGTAATATAAACATTGATTCATTATTTGGGTTAGCGCGCAATCTCTTTTAGTGCAATGCAATTCACATTAACGTGCGCCGCCTTATAATTCACAGCAGCGTGGCAGTGATTCTTAAATCATTCCATTCGGAAGTGGTCAGGACGGCTCAAGAGGTGAGAGCACGGAGATTGCACCACCGTGACCCTCCATGTGAATCCGCGTTTCAACCACCCGCGAATAAAGCGGATTCGCGCGCTTAGCAAACTGAAGGCCTCAGCCTGGTCACGAATGACTGCGTACAAACACACGTCGTGGGAATTCGATACTGGAGGCAAAAATGGGCGAGGCGCAGAGTCGTGAGGCATTTACGACGCTGGTAGCCTAAGGCGAGGCCGCCCGTTGTTGTGCGATGGAACAAGCGGTCCTGGTGTCGGCCAAGTTGGGGGTCGAGGTCGTGGTCGCTTGAATGTGGTGGCCGCTCAAGGCGACAGCGAAGTCGGCCGATGTGGGCCACCTCTCGTTAAAACTAAATAGTTTTTCCCGGGTAAGGCCGACTGAGCTATGTAACTCATTTTCAGAAGCGACCTTGCCACAAATGATAGCTCAACGAAATGGCTTATCACGTTGATATTTATAGCAGCCAAATACTCTGAAACGAGTGATTCTAAATGTAGAGAGAAAAACCGGAGGACCTGGAGAAAAATACAAGCGACCACGGAGAGAACATGCAAACTCCAAATATAGAGGCGTCAGGGTCGGGATTGAACCCATGACCTGCTGGATACCAGGCGAGGTAGTTAACATCTCGCCACCCTGGTGCCCCTATTGGTTGGTGCGTTACTGCCCGACCGGCCAAGTGTGACCCAAGCGACACGGCTCAGCGGTCGCGCGTTTGCGGCTTTATTCCTGCAGAGGTTCAGGGTTCGAATCCAGTGGCCGCCCTGGTTAATGCTGCGGGTGTAGTAACCGTTACCAATAACTCCGCGTCACAGGAGATGTCAAAGACCTCTGGACATCATGAGCGAAGAAAGGCCATCATGTGCCGGTGTCAGGGTCAAAATTTTCAAAATATTCGAAATTTGCACTGCAAATTACTCAATTGGTGTTAAATACAGCAACAATCGCACGTTACCATCAGACAAATGTCCATTTGCAGGACAGGCGCACAGTCACCTTGTGCCCACAGGGACAGCTTCGACTGGGGGTTCCCTTTCAAATGTGTTGAGATGAGATTGTAAGGCGCTCCGAGACACCCTGGCGTACAGGAGAGCTCTACATCAAATACAAATCGTCGTCACGGTCATTATAAGCGCGATCATCTTGGTTTTGCTCGGACGCGCTCAGAAGAGGGAGAGCGGCTCGTCGTCCCCCGCGTTCTCCTGGATGTACGCCAGGATGTCCGTTGCATCCATGGAGCTCGACGCCTTCGTGGGAAGGGCCTGGGAGGTTCCTCCCTCCTTCGGGGGCGCCAATGACGAGGTCGCGACCCCCCTGACCCCGCCGGGTTTTGGGGGCAACCTCGGCTTAGGCTTGGGCTTGGGTTTGGGTTTTGACCTCAGCTTCAGGATGTCCTCCAGGTCATCGGCGACGCTGTGGGAAACACGAGGGCGTCTGAGTTATGGGAACGACCTTTTTCCACCGCACATCCGAGCCACGCAGGCGCAGGGCACTCACGGTACAGCTTGTATCCCACTATTTGTCGAGGTGAGCCAGAAGTAAAACCGCGATACGGTGGCCATACGCGCCATCTGAATCTGGCTCGGTGGCCATGGGCGGAGGTTGACAATTGCCATCGTACGTTGGCATCAGACGAGTCTAGAACGAGTGTTCCGCCGACTTCGCATTGCTCATTATGTGTGACATCCGCGGTACGGTTCGGGTTCTGCGGTGGAAAAAAAAACAACAACTCGACACCTCCTCGGGTAGTTTCGAATCATAATTTAGACTTCTGACGCGCGCGGTTTTCGGAGGCGCGAGCAATCACAGACAAGCGGGGAAGACAGCAGGCGGGCAGGAAAGCGGTGACCTGGTGCGACTGACAATTGCCCAAGCTCTACGGTTCTCGAAATATTAATTAATTTCAGCCAATTAATGAGTGTTTATGCATGCGAGAGGAAGAACCGGAGCACCCCGGAAGAAAACCTATCGGGGTGAAAGGGTTCACCAGTGCCACACGACCCTAACTCGGCTATCTCGCACGCTGGGACCGGGGCCCGACGGGGCACGCTTGCGATGGGAGCGGCGCGGTTACTTGAGCAGCTCCTCCTCGTCCTGCGTGAACCCCGACGTGGGTGCCGGCGAGGGCTCGCCGACGAGCTCCGGCGGCGGCAGCAGCAGGGGGTCGTCGCTCCTGACGGCGCCGCCCAGGTCCGGAGCGTCGAACAGTCCTCACGTCCCCGCCTGCCGCAGGCCACGCGGTCACAGCAGCCGTGACAACGTTTGCGACGATTGTTCGACTTCGTTTGGCACTTATTCGTGCTGTCTCTACCCAGCAACTTGGAACAAGATCAAGAGGTGAGAGGTGGACGGGTGGCCCAGCGGTCAGAGACAGAGCCGGCACCACTGAAAGCCTGGGTTGGAACCTAGGTGTGTATCTGGCCATGATTAAACCAGGCTCTCGGGTGTAGCAAGTTGATTTCGCCAGCTCAGTCACCAATGACTGCACGAAAAAAATGTCGTGTAATTTTTTTTATCATCATTAATGCGGCGATAAGGAAGGGGGAGGGTTAAAAAATGCCCTGCTGAGAATTGGGTTCGCTCACTCGACGAAGATGTCACATTTCCCCACCTCCGATGAGCGCGGCTGGCTACGCACGGCGCGAAAGAAGCTTAACATACACATGTACGTACATGCTAGCGGTGGTTAAGAGGACGCCTGAAGCAGCGTGGGCCAGTCACAGGCACGAGAAACCTACGATTTTGGCGTGGCGGTTACGGTGGGGGGGGGAGGGGGCACAGGTAAAATCCACAAACGGCGCGACGTGAATCCCGTCCGCGGTGGTGGTGGGGCGTGCGGCCTCACCGTGCCACGTCTCTGCGGTGTCCCGTGCGGCGGCGGGCGCCCGTGTCGGGAAGAGGGGATCGTGGCGGACAGGAGCATTCATCTTCGCCCGCGAGGGCGCGGGAGCCGGAGGAGGCTTCGGGCTCGGAGCCGGTGCCTTCTTCCTGCGGAAATACGGCAACGCGCAGGGGCGGAATTCACGGGGCGAAAAGTAACCGCAGCCTTGATCACCATCGTCGTCATCAGTCACGATCGATCCACCGCTGGATGAAGGCCTCTCTAAGCCGTTTTCATTCTCTCAAGGTTGCATGATCCACCAGTGATCAACAAAATCATTGTCGATGTCATCAATCCTCAACAGCACCTCCAGCAGTCATTGTCGTCAATTCCACACGTTCGTCATCAATTCTCAACTGTAATCTCTATTAATCATCAACATGAATACTTATCAACCCTAAAACTTTACCAATTGTCAATTCATAATTATTCATCATCATCATCATGTGTTTGTGGGAGCACAAGTCTCAAAGTGCTTACAGGAAGCATTTTTGATAAATCTGCAATCTACTTGCTGTACCGGATCCTAGAAGAGCCTCCGTATTTGCCATGCAGATCGGAGTCGTAACAATTCCATCTCTATGTGATCCGCCTACCCCTGCATTATAAGATCCGCTCAGATCAACAGGTTCGCGACGCCACCACCGCCGCCACCACCGCCACCCGGTACAGCAGGGACCTACTTTTTCATCACTCCGAGCGGGTCGTCGGCCTCATCACTGCTGGACTCCTCCGCCGGTTCGGGCGCCTTTGCTTCTCGCCGCGCTCCGCCCGTATCCCTCCTCGGGGCCGCGGGCTGCGCGTTGCGGGGTGCCGGCGCGGGTCTGGACGCGGTCGCGTCGCGCCCGGCCGTTCGGGTGTGACGCTGCCCAAAATTCACCTCCTCGTCCTCGTCGTCCCTCGCGTCGTCGTTCCCAAAGAACGATCGCTCGCTCGGCTCGTCCGGGGCATCGAGCCTCCTCGGAGCGGAGGCCCACGGCTCCGTCACGAACTCGGAATTTGCGTCTGCGAACAAAAAGCGACAAAATTACTACACCGCGAGGGGTTCTAACCGAGCAGGAGATGGGGCTGGATTGACTGGAGGTGATAGCCGTCAATTAAAGCATCAGGGGACATTGACCACAGTAATGATTTCAACTTGTAGCGCCGCTGCCGCGCGGTATTCGCTCGCTCTCGAAGAGACAGAACGACTCGGAGGCGATCGTGGCCACCACCCCCCCCCTTCCGGCGGCGCCACCGCCACCACCACCGGGGCCGCCCTGTGCCGTCGCGCACCCAGGAAGTGCAGCGTCTCGGGCGCCGTGGCGAGACTGGCGTCGCGCGCCACGGCCTGCAGGAGGCGGTGGAACGCGCCACGCCGCTCCTGCAGCTCCGCCTCTCCCACGAGCAGCGCCCGCCGCGGCATCGGGGGCAGCGCCGACCCCGGGAAGCGGCCCGCCAGCGCTCTCGCCAGCTCCTCGAACTGACTGAACGACCGCTGCACCTGCTCGCGCCCGCCACGGGAGAGACGGACGGGAGGAGGAGGAACCGGGGATGAGAATCGCCACGGTGGGGCGAGTTTACGGGACGCGTGGATTTTGGTGGGCGGCCTCGACAATTGGAGTTGGCAAACGTTCGTTAAAAACGAAGGCGGTAAAGGTGGCGTGAGGAGCCACGGTGCCGAGCCGGCGCGATTGAGAGCGTAGGATCAATTCTCGGGGGTTTCAGCCATCCGCGGTTAAACCAGGCACTCAGGAGTTTTCGAATTGATGGTTTCAGCAACGTCAATAATGACTGCACATCATCATCGTCGTCGTCGTCGAGACGAATGTTTGTTTATTACACTTGCTGTACTAACATCTCCGGTCCAGTGGGTGAGGGAGTTTTGCAAATTGCAACCTGATCCACCAACCCTCGCCGTCAATCTAAATCTAGCATTACGCTTAATTTGGTCAATTCCAGCTCTTGAGCGATAAAACGTAACACGCGCGCGTCTAATAATTTTGACGGTGAACTCTCTTTGCCGGGTACACGGCAATGCATCGTCCCTCCCCCACCACCAAACGAGAACTGAAGGGACTTCAGAAGTAGTTCTGTAACATCACCTTCCACAGACAACATTTGCCCAGTGAGGCCCCAAAATTCACGTCTCCTGGTTCGCTGCACATGCAGACGCGTCGCTTGCCGATTTTCTCAAACTACCCCTCCCCCCCACTCCCTGCCCGCGATGAGGCGTTAGCTACCTCACCTGATATACAGGAGGTCGTTGGTTTAGTCCCAACCCTGACTTCTGTATATTTGCACATTTGGCATTTGCGTGTCTCTCTCCCCATGGTCGCATGGATTTTTTCTCCAGATCCTCCGGTTTTCCCCTCTACATTCCGAATAAACATCACGCGTTTTGACCTTTGAGGGCATTTGGCTGCTACGATTATTCCACGTGATAAGCCACTTCGCTGACCTATCCATTCGTGATGGCCTGAGCGCTTCTGAAAAAGAGCTGTACAGCTCAGTGGGCCTTGCCTAGTAAAATAAATAATAGTTTATTCCCGAGTGGTGGGAGCGGCGGTGACGTTGCTACGGAACTCGAGCGCACTCCGAAGGGGCAGTGGGGGGCACGACGCTCCGAGTGGAGCGTGCGACGCTCCGCGTTATTTGGGAACGGCTCCGAGGTGGCAGAGAGGAGGAGCGGAGGCGCGCACCGTGAACTGCACGTTGTCCGCGGGGCCGTGCAGCGTCGGCGCCTTGAAGCAGGCGAGGCGCGTGACGGCCAGCACGCGATACTCCACGTGGCCGCGCATGCCCTCCCGCCGCTCGGCAAAATCCAGCACGTGCAGGTCCAGCCCCGACACGGAGTTCTGCAGCTGCCTGCTCGGCACATGGGGGGGGGGGGCAGTGGGTGGTGCAGCGGTGGTGACATGAGATGACAGCCGTTTGCGGTGGTGGTGACGGCAATGGTGGTGGCGGCGGTCATGCGGTTGCAGTGGTGGCGGTGGTGGCGATGGTGGGCAGCGGCGAACAACTGCAGTTCTGCGTCTTTACCATTCGCCTTCGAGCAATAAATGCATCACGAGCGCGACACACAGCAGCTCACGTGGCGGGCGGACGTTGCACCTCGGGGCCGGCTTCGCGCGCACAGCGAACCCACCGCCCCACTCCGGAGCCCCACCAATCCGGCGGGCCGCCGAGGCAACGTCGACGATTACCTCTCGTCTCGCCACAGTCGAGGGCCGGTGGCCACGAGTGCTTTTTTAGAAAGCCACAACCCCCGTGAACGAATCCGGTTCATCTCTCTCTCTCGTGCTGCCGGATTTATTGGAATCGTGCTGACAGCGCGAACTTGCCAACCGATTGGATTTCCCTTGGAAATTCTTGTAGCTGGTGGCGTTATTGTTCGTAACATACTGCGCTTCTGAATAGGTTGTTTTTGTTGTTGCTGCTGCTGCTGTATTGTGTACAACAGCGAATTAGGGAAAAAAAAGTTCGTACAATCGTGGCGTCAGCAATTATAATTTAAACTTGTAATGCTGTCCCGTCCGCCACACATATTCAGATAGTACGCTTGCGTTTAGTTTGTCGTCCTGCCGCCGCACCTCCGATAAGCACGATTGACAACGTACGGCGCGAAAGAAGTTCAACGTACGTGCACAGTGTCCGCTCATCGCTCGAGTAGTGAGGGGGAGAGAGGACGACTCGGAGGCGACGGGAGGAGGAACCACAGACGAACTGCAAGGCAGGGCAGGGAGCCCGGCGCCAAATTCCCTCCCAAGTTCTGGGGTCCTCTATCTATAAAGATGTTTCCAGGAGGCTGGAGCGCCGGGAGAAAGCCCACGCATGCGAGGGGGCAGCGGCTTACCCAGTAAACATGGAACGTTGGGTTAACGAACGTTGAGCCAACGTTGAGCCAATTACCCTACATGCAAACTTTGGTCAAAACCTTGCAAGTTTACCGGGTACAAATATTCCGGAGCTCAGCTCCAGCTAATATTACTATGATGAACTCAATCCGCAGCAGCCTCACGTCATGCATACCATCATCATTACCATCATCATCAGCAGCGGTACAAGGATCATCACCATCACCACCACCAATAATCTCATCAAAATCCGCACCATCGTTATGACCGCCACTGCCATCGATAACATCATCACAATTAATCCAGGAGCATCAGACGAATTAACCATCTCATTACCACATCCACAAAAACCATCGCCGTCTCACCACTGCATTCATAACCACAAAAATCATCTCAAACACCGCACGCATCGCGATCACAACACAAGCATCACCACGCATACCATCGTCATACACAGCACCATCACCGACATCAACATAATCACCATCACCATACACATCACTAATAAGACAAAGATCCCCCGTATAGCCTGAACAGGCTGTTGGGACAAGTGCTGTGAGCAAGCGCCGAATGAAGGCCGGCACGGCACACGAAGTTCACACACCGCACCAGGCACTCATTTGAGGCTGAGCCGACCTAGGGGAGACCCAGGACCGGTTCAGATAATCGTCACTGGTGTGGGCCGTGAGCCACCGCTCCCCATCACCAAACCACCATCACCATCACCACCATTACCACTATCATCACCACCACCATCACCACCACCACCATCACCACCATCACCATCATCACCACCACCACCACCATCATCAACACCATCACCACCACAATCACCATCACCACCATCACCACCACCACCATCATCACCATCACCACCATCACCACCACCACCCCCATCATCACCGCCATCACCACCACCATCACCACCATCACCAGCACCATCACCACCACCACCATCATCACCATCACCACACGCATCACCGCTCGCTGTGGGCCACTCGAAGCGGCTCTCACCGCGTTGTGAGAGTAGCCTCACGCATCTCGCCTCCTCCTCCTTCCTCCTGCCGCTGCCGCCGATGGCGATGAGCGCTTGACAAGTCCGCAGCAAAGCCGAATGCCCCTCAACGCGACGCCTCAACAACAACAACAACCCGCATCAGCAAGTCTTCGTCTCTCCACCGTCTTCGACAAAGCACTCCACGGCTGCCCCTGTCGCACACGTGACACGAGCCGGGGGGTGGCCCGACTTGACACCCGAACCGGAGTTCCGGTGTCGATTTTAACGAATTCAACATCCGAGCAGAGCCTCATTTCCTCCTCCCAGTTGGGTCACGTCCTGTCGTCTCGCTCCGTGCCTCGCTCGCCCCGTGGTGGCGATCTGGCAGGATGCAGAAGTCGTTCTCCATGCGGGGCTCTTTGAGCCTCTCCTCCTCCTCCAACGCCGCCTCGGTCATCCCGGGGGGAGAGTTGAATGGTTGATTGGTCAACTCCTTATCAGTGACTACCTTGTTCATACCTGTCAACCCCTTTTCAGTGACTACCTTATTCATACCTGTCAACCCCTTTTCAGTGACTACCTTATTCATACCTGTCAACCCCTTATCAGTGTCTACCTTATTCATACCTGTCAACCCCTTATCAGTGTCTACCTTATTCATACCTGTCAACTCCTTATCAGTGACTACCTTATTCATACCTGTCAACCCCTTTTCAGTGTCTACCTTATTCATACCTGTCAACCCCTTATCAGTGTCTACCTTGTTCATACCTGTAAATTCCTTATCAGTGACTACCTTATTCATACCTGTCAACCCCTTTTCAGTGACTACCTTATTCATACCTGTCAACCCCTTATCAGTGACTACCTTATTCATACCTGTCAACCCCTTATCAGTGTCTACCTTATTCATACCTGTCAACCCCTTATCAGTGACTACCTTATTCATACCTGTCAACTCCTTATCAGTGTCTACCTTATTCATACCTGTCAACCCCTTATCAGTGACTACCTTATTCATACCTGTCAACCCCTTATCAGTGACTACCTTATTCATACCTGTCAACCCCTTATCAGTGACTACCTTATTCATACCTGTCAACCCCTTATCAGTGACTACCTTATTCACACCTGTCAACCCCTTATCAGTGACTACCTTATTCATACCTGTCAACCCCTTATCAGTGTCTACCTTATTCATACCTGTCAACCCCTTATCAGTGACTACCTTATTCATACCTGTCAACCCCTGATCAGTGACTACCTTATTCATACCTGTCAACCCCTTATCAATGTCTACCTTGTTCATACCTGTAAACCCCTTATAAGTGACTACCTTATTCATACCTGTCAACTCCTTATTAGTGTCTACCTTATTCATACCTGTCAACCCCTTATCAGTGTCTACCTTATTCATACCTGTCAATCCCTTATCAGTGACTACCTTATTCATACCTGTCAATCCCTTATCAGTGACTACCTTCTTCATACCTGTCAACCCCTTATCAGTGTCTACCTTATTCATACCTGTCAATCCCTTATCAGTGTCTACCTTATTTATACCTGTCAACTCCTTATCAGTGTCTACCTTATTCATACCTGTCAACTCCTTATCAGTGTCTACCTTATTCATACTTGTCAACTCCTTATCAGTGTCTACCTTGTTAATACCTGTCAACTCCTAATCAGTGACTACCTTATTCATACCTGTCAACCCCTTATCAGTGTCTACCTTATTCATACCTGCCAAGCCCTTATCAGTGTCTACCTTATTCATACCTGTCAACCCCTTATCAGTGTCTACCTTATTCATACCTGTCAACTCCTTATCAGTGTCTACCTTGTTAATACCTGTCAACTCCTAATCAGTGACTACCTTATTCACACCTGTCAATCCCTTATCAGTGTCTACCTTATTCATACCTGTCAACCCCTTATCAGTGTCTACCTTATTCACACCTGTCAACCCCTTATCAGTGTCTACCTTATTCATACCTGTCAACCCCTTATCAGTGTCTACCTTATTCATACCTGTCAACCCCTTATCAGTGTCTACCTTATTCACACTTGTCAACCCCTTATCAGTGGCTACCTTATTCATACCTGTCAACCCCTTATCAGTTTCTACCTTATTCACACTTGTCAACCCCTTATCAGTGGCTACCTTATTCATACCTGTCAACCCCTTATCAATGGCTTTCACAAATTATAGTTCAACGAAGTGGCTTATCATCATCATCAGGTGGCAATTTATATCGCAGCCAAAATACTCTGATCTCAGATTTTCTCTATCGCATCATTTTTATGCTATCGGCATATATCAGTGAAATTAACTCTGTCACTTATGATTGCAAGTTGTTGCGAGTCAGTGACTAATTTAGTGTTAAAATATGGTGCTGTATTTTTAGGATAGTGTGTTTATAATATCATTTTATGTAGATATCCACATTTATTTAATATTTTTCTTCTGCAGTTTTAATTGAAAATGCAATATTTGATATCTCAAAAACCTGATGTGATAGACAAAAACTGATGCCAGATTTGGAATCAGCACCCCAAAATTACCTTAAAACCTTTGGAATACCTTATGCCAGAAAAAGTGTGTTGCCCAGTGCTATATTTCATACTGCCCCCCTTGTTAAACCGCTTCGATTTATTCATCGTGGCACCTTTCGGGAACGCATCTCCGACCTACGCCGGGGTATCGCATCACCCGCGTCACGGTGTCAATTTGGAAAAGCTGCCGCGCAGTGTCCGCTCCACTCTCGTCGAGAGACGGAGGACGACTCAAGAGGAGGAACCCACGGACGACACTCGGGGAAGGCAGCAAGCGGTGGGCCAGCGCGAGCCACAATTGCCCAAGCTCGCGCGGTCCTCTCTGCATGAAGGCGCTATCGATTGGTTTTTTTTTTTACACGCGGGAGGAAACCGGAGGACCCAGTGCCGGATTATCAAAGTAGCATCACATTCCTGCGGAGGGAGCTGGTAGGAACGTTGGGTTGCTCGGTCAATGGCCAGGGTCAACGGCGGCGTGGTGTATTCCACAAATATGCCCCACTGAGGGCGGGCACAAGCCGGCGTGAGTAGGTTAAACGTTGAGTTTTATAAGGGCACCACGGGGTGACCAGCCCCTCCCCACCCAGCCCCACCCCTCCCACCCCCACCCAGCCCCATCCCCCCCACCCTCCCCACCTAGCCCCACCCAGCCCCTCCCCACCCAGCCCCTCCTCACCCTCCCCTCCCCACCTAGCCCCACCCAGCCCCTCCCCACCCAGCCCCTACTTACCCCCCCCCTCTCCACCCAGCCCCACCCCTCCCATTTTTGGATCCACGACGGACGGACGGACACAATAATCCCCTGTGGGCTGGTGGAACCAGGTGGTTTCTACCAGTAGAAGTAGCTACATATGTAGTAGCTCCATATGTAGCTACATATATAGCTACATATGTAGCTACGGGCCCCGCGCTAAATGCTTTCAAGCTATCAATTCCGGTTCAGTGATTCTGCACTTGCTATATTACTATAGTACTATACTGCCTTCAACTTTTATGAACGACTGGGTATGGGTGTTTAAGGTTAGCGATTTGTCGTATTATCTGGGCTGTATAGCAAATGAAAAAATACAATTACTTTACTATGCAAGTAAAAAAATAGTGTTTTAATATTTACGTGTTTTTTTTTAATTTAGAGCCCCTTTAAAACATAAAATGCTACAGGCCCCGCAACGAGCTTAATCCGGTACTGGCGCAAAGGTGGAGTCCACGTCGCTGTACCGCCACCTCCTGGGCGAGCCCAGGTACTGCAACAACCTCGACGGGCCCACGGGGCGGGGAAGATTTCATAGCGTTCGTCCAGGTGGATCCATCAACCCTCCGCGGTGTTGGGTTACAGGCGTGCGCTACCACAGTGGGGGCCACTGCGCTCACGACGGCTGTTACGATATGAGAACCCGGGGTAGGCTCGCCGTGCATGGGAGAGGGTGAATTCCAGGATTCCAGCGTGCGCGAGTTTGCGCTGTGCATACCGCTCACCTGTTTATGTGCAAACTTTGCTCTGTTATGAGGTTTGAATTCGCTCAAAATGCGGCTATGCGGTCGGACGTTGTGTGCTGTGTGTGTACTGTGTGTTTTGTGTGTGCGTACCACGTGTACTGTGTGTAGTGTGTGTACTGTGTGCGTATTGTGTGTATGTACTGTGCGTAATGTGTGTACTGTGTGTGTACTGTATCCTCTGGTCTGACACCGTTTGAGACGAGGCTCAAAGGAAAGCTGTCTCTGGTGTGGACCAATCAGTTTAAAAGACAATGCCACAGATATTATTATCAGAGTACGTTTTTTTAGCACTTTGACCACAAGCATTTTGGTTAATGCAGACATGATTCCTTGTAAAAGGTTTCAGTTTGGTGTTTTAACATCTTAACACAGCTGTGTTGTGGCCAGATAAAAGGGGGGAACACATATTCTCTTAAAAATTGGTGTTTTAATATATATTTTTTTAAATGTAGGGCCCCTTTATAACATATGTTACAGGCCTCGCACTAGCTTAATCCGGCACTGGGTACAGGAATTGCGTTGGGAGACAGAGGGAAGGACACATTTGGATGAAAAGGAAAGCATAACGTAGGTTGAGGACAACATTTTGACTTGAGATCAGAATGCGGCACGATGGACTCACCAACAGAGGGAGACACTGCTCTTATTATTCTTTGGTTATTTCGGTAAAGTCACGTCGATACAAAAATAATTAAAAAAGTGAAAAAATAAAAATAAAATGATAAAAATTACTAATGTAGACTTTAGCCTGGTTCTTAATCGGAGTGAGTGTACTGGCAATCTGTCATGTAGACTGTAGCCTGGTTATTAAGCTGGGTGAGTGTACTGGCAGTCTATAAAGTAGACTGTAACCTGGTTATTAAACTGAGTGAGTGTACTGGCAGTCTATAATGTAGACTGTAGCTTGGTTATTAAGCTGAGTGAGTGTACTGGCAGTCTATAATGTAAACTGTAGCCTGGTTATTAACCTCGATGAGTGTACTGGAAGTCTATAATGGAGACTGTAGCCTGGTTCATAAGCTGGGTGAGTGTACTGGCAGTCTATAATGTAGACTTATTACTCCTTCTTTCAGTAATAAAAATAAAATAAGTAAAAGAAAAAAAGATATACAAATTTAAAACCACGACATTTTGATCGCAACACAAGCAGCCGTCATCAGTTAAAGACGGCGGTCACCGCATTGCGCGCTCGCGGGTGCGTTTCTGCGGCCGTCT